ATTGATTTACTAACCGCAGCACCAATGGCGATAAACAACAACTCAAAGCGTCCATCTCTATCTGTTTTGATATGAATTACCGACCCATGATTTTTCAGCTTTAAATTGTTACAATAAGCCGGCAGTTGGGCAAACGATGCTTCTGGCGACCCCCTCAACAATTCCAAGGCATAACATTTGGCTCTCCAAGCTTGAGAATATGAGATACTAATCTTGAACCGAGCATTCATGTCAGTCATAATTTCATGTCCCCGATATACCCTACCATTCAAAAACATTAACTCAGCCAGAAAACCACCCAACACCTTTTTGTTTGCCTGTCTATGGTGAGGAAAAACTTGGGTTCTTGAACATGTATGTTTATCAATAAAAGTCCTAACTTGAAACATTTCGCAATCTTTTTATCCTCTTTGCAATCATACGCCACATACAGTTTTTGTCAATCATACACCTTGTTTCGAAACGATATTTGCTTGATTTGTTAACTTTTAGTTGATAGCCATATTCCACACATTTTGTATACAAAGCTATCTTCAAGTCTTCCTTTGTATCAAAACAATCATCTTTCTTGATACGAATAATTTTTGTGTAACAATCAACTGCTATCTTTACCAACTCTTCTTCCGGTATCTGAAGTAATTCTGGCATATTCCAGTTATACTCCCGTGGCATTTTCTTCGGGGACTTTTCTTTGGGGATTTCTTCTTCTTCTTTTTCTTCTTCAGTGTTATATGAATTACAGAATGGATGTTCAACATGTTCATTTACAGTCGTAACTTCCTCCTCGTTATCATCAACAACATCTTCCTAGGCAACGGCTGTTTCATCATCAAAATTCGGGTATTGACCAATATCAAAATCATTACACGCAGGGTCTGTTTCTTCTTCTGAAAAATCATCAAAATCCGAGTATTGACCAAGATCAAAGTCCGGGTATTGACCAAGATCAAATTTTGAATACTGACTAGTACTCACAATTTTTTCTGTTGGCTCATCATCGTCTAACTGGTCAATACGAAAATCGAAATTTGGTGCTGAAAGTTGATTGGGATTTGGATTAGGGAAAGGCTGTGGGTTTTTGAGATTGTGTTTGGTATTGGAAATGTGGTGAAACAATATTTGCTTGGTGATGAAATTGTGGTGGAACCATTAAATTTTGAGCACTATAAACTGTGGTTGAAAAACTTAGTTGATTACTACCCGCTACTGACCCAACTTCACTACTTCTAGGTTCAACAACATACAATGTAACATCATCACTTGAAACACTAATGTAAGCAATGAATCGATCAACATCTTCATTGTCGGTTAACAAATAAACTTTACCATTTCTCTGATAAGATAGCCTAAATCCACTTAGGGGCTCTAAATTCAAGTTATTTGCAACACGTAACATTAGAGTTTCATAAGTTAACTTTTTTAATGACAGTTTTAGTTGAAGATTCATGGGTAAAGGTATATATTGTAAAACACCATGAACATTCTCCCATGACCCTCCAAAACACAAATCTATCCAAACATGATCAACATTAGATGATTTCATTATTGTAAATTAATTTACTAAACAAAACGAGTTGCGAAACTAAAACCTGTTGCCGGATGGGGAAGGATGTCGTTGGATATAGGAACGGATGTCGCCGGAGAGAGTGATAGATGGAGATTGAATGAGTTGCGATTTAGGGATTTAGGTTATGAGTTGCTGCTGCTGCGTAGTTATATACCCAAAACATTTGTGTTGCGAAATTAAAACTTGTTGCGAATTCAGAAATCGAGTTGCGAATTTGAAATTCAGTATTGCGATAGTCAGAATCTCGTTGCGATTTACAGATTCGCATTGCGATTTACGTAAATCGCATTGCGATTTACGTATTCGCATTGCGAATTAGGAAAATCGCAACGTAAATTTGGGAAATCGCAATGCGATAGTCAGAATCGCGTTGCGAATCTGGAAACTGATTTGCGATACCGGAGATCGCGTTGCGAATTATCGATCGCATTGCGATTTAGTTGGTCATTTTGGCAAATCCAAAAAAAATTGGTTAAAATCGTATATTATAAGGCATTTTTTGTCACTAAGATTATTTTCTCTAATAATTATTAGAGTCGAATCGAATTAGAGATTTTTTTTATCTTAAACCTGACTATGCCTTAACCCTTACTCTTTTACCATGCAATACTTGCAAGTCCAACATGCTTATTTGACCAAACAATTTAAAATTTAAATTAAAAAATTCGAATCATTCATCAAAACGACCTCCATTTATTACAGCATAACTGTGAGAAAAAAATGCAACGCAAGTAAAAATTGTAAATGGCATTTACACATGTACACCTTGATGCAGAAAACATGCCATAGGTTAAAACAAAACATCCCAATTAAACTTAACTCAATTAACCTGAATGTTATTACACTGCCTATAGGTTGCAAGTCAGAAAAAGAAACCATATATTATTCTCGAAAGTAAAATGATAAAAGCAAATAAACCCTTTACCCTCAGTTTCGGAGCAAGAAATAGCTATACATGTAGCCTTTGGTGGTTGCTGACGGACAAGTGATTAGACCCAACAGGGCCGGGGCCGGGGCCGGTCAACTCAAATTTATTTTCGCTTCATCATAACAAAAGCTTTGTATCAAACCCCCAAATTACAATTCCGTCCCCTAAGGTTGATACAGTTAGGGTTGTGACTTATTCGAGTTTGACTCGATCAAAGATCGATCGATATTCAAATTGAATTTATTCGATTTGACTCAAGTTCTTAACGAACCGAAATAACCTATTTGGTACCCGACTCGAAAATATCAAGAGCAACTCAAAAAAAATTAAAAAAATTTAATTTATTAATATATTAACATTTATATGTTGTTTTTTATGAAAAAAATGCAATATAATATTTTCATGTACTTAAAGTTCAGGTTTCAACTCAAATTCTAGCTCGAGTTTGAGCTTCAGTTGAGCTAAGTATGAGAATATTTCGAGTTCAAGTTTTTTCGAGTTTTAGTCGAGGTTCAATTTTTTATTTCGAGTTGAACTTGAAAATTTTAAGCTCACGAGTTTTCGAGTCAAGCTTCAGTTTTTAGTTTCGAGTTCGAATTAAGCTTGATAATTTTAAGATAGCGAGCTTTCGAGTCGAGCTCAACAATACTCAAATTTAGGGATAGGCATGGTCGGGTTTCTGTTCATTCAACCCGAACCAAAAATTATACACCCTCCACTCAACCCGCCCTTTGAGATAAAACTCGATCCTAACCTAACTCAACACAAAATAATATATTTATAAAAAAATATTTTTTTTTGATGACATAGGACCTCCTAAGTCCAGACTGAAGAACCCGACCCTACAAGGCAACCTCCGGAGGGGCTCGAATTTAATTGAAAAAAAATAATATAAAGATGAGTCTTATTGTAAGTATTCTTAAATATATAAAATAAAATTACATTTTTTTTATGTCGGGTATTTTTCACCTAAATTTAAATATGACCAAACATAATCTAAAAAACTTAATTCAACCCTAAACCCGATTAAACCTAATTCGACCCTAAACCCGGTTTAAAAAAACGACCCGATAAGATGAGGTCACGTCGGAATCCATTTGGGTTCAGTGTCCATTCCTACTAAAATTCGAGTCAGTAGTGAGTCGGTGGTGGCGGTGATGTAAGAAACAACGTCAGGCTGACGGAGGCAGGCAGAGGTGGAAAGAGGGTTGGCCCGCTCAGCCCGGTTCATATGGTCACAACGGATTGAGTGCAATCTGAAAAGGTGGCCTAGGATGACCCCCCCAAAGCCATGGGGTCATCTTAGCATATTCGATCGACTGGAAACTGCTGCCGGTTGCTCCTATTTCAAGCATTCCCTTTCCAGTTAGATATGGCTAAGAAACAAATAAGGATCGCTAATGACTACTCATGGAAACTTCCCCTTTCCACCCATAAATAATTCAAGGAAACCAATTTGTACATAATCTGAATGAATTTATCCATATCTCCTAAAACTTTTAAATTTTTATATAATTTAAATCATATTTTCACTCTAGAATTTTATAAATAATCCTTTTTTAAATTTTATACAGTTATCACATAACATAAAGTCTTATTTGTCTCTATGTACAATGTAATATTAATTTATTTTCCCACAAAAATTATTCATGTTATATGGATACGATTTTTTTGAATTAATCACTGGTATCCGATCTATTGACTGACTAATCCAGTTCATGTACTGCAGAGGCGAGAGCGACCCTCCCAACCTAGTTTGCTTCATTCGCAAAAACCAGAATTCAAACATCTGACCTTGCTTAAGGGACCTAATGACTCATCCCACTAGACCACCTGGTTTTTAATAATAAAGTCGGTAGAGGTCAATTATTAGGATTATATGACATATATAGTAATGATAATAACAAAATTGATTTGATCCAGCTAAAGATGCCTTAAATCAAAAACATAATGAAAAGATGAAAAGAAGAGGAAAAAGCTATAACATGAATGGTATACATGGATTGTACTCCCATTGTCAAATGCCTAATTATTGTCAAATTGTAAAGTTTGTTTTAAGTGTGTGAAAGAGTTCCATGCCTTTTCTTTTTCATCATAATCATTGCATTTGCAACATTACTTTTCCCATTCAATGAAAGATTATTGGATGCTTTTCATATTTCAAATCGCAAAAGATTATTGCTTTGGATGAGGATACATGGATAGAGTTCTCTTCATGTAATTTGTAAATAAAGTAGACCCTTAAAAGCACTCTCCTAAAGGAAATTATCATTTAGCAAATTACAAAATTTCTCACAGTAATTAAGTTTTTGGAAAAATAAACTCACTCAAAAATTCTAAAATACTCTTTGATGCTGATATATCTTTTTAATGATGGTTTCGTGTTTAATTGATTTTTTTTTACAAAGGAAAATAGAAGTGAACTTGTTACATAGATGAAGCAATGTCAGAGCAAAGGAGAACTAAAACTACATCATTAATAATAATAATAATAAAGGGGGCAAATAGAAGAAGAATTAATATTAGCTACTTTGGAATGCAACAGCATCATGAGCAATCAGCCTTATGATTTTCAGCAGAGTGACTGCTCATGATGTTATATCATTCCATCCCCTTCCATGGCCCATCAAACCATACTCTAATCTTGATTAGCTACCAAATGGGCAAATACATAACATCTCCTTAAAAGCCGCCGCCGAAAGCCGCGGCGCCCATTAATCGCCACCATAGTCGATTCCAACTTGTTGAGTGCAAGATACAGGAACTAAGAACAGCCCTCTACTCCTCAAGTCCTTTGCCTTTTGCCCTTGCTTCTCCTGTTATTATTATCATTATCAAACGGATAAACAATTTTAGAATTTAAATAAAGTTATAATAATAGCAGTAATGATGATGATGATGATTCATGCTTATGAACACTTTTTCTTAATTTTTTCCTCTTTTTAGATTACTTATGCAGTTCTAAATTATTCTTTTGATAATAATCTATTCACTAAAATTTGTTTTAAACTATTCCTACTTTGCCTTTTGTGAGTTGATTGATCCAATAAAGTTTTTACCTGTTCTTCATCTTCAACAAATGTGGAACTTTCTCCATGAATCTTCAATTATAAAAAATGCCAATTAATTAATTACACATAATTGCATTGGGAAATGGGGTGTATGTATATATGGGTACTTACAGATTGTTGGTTTCTCATATTTGGAGTTGCAGAACCCAAGTAAGGGGAGCTGAGAGCCTGCATTTTTTTTATGACTTCCATAACTAAAGATGTGTATATATATATATATGCATGCTTGCTTTTCTTCACACTGATTTCTATAGAGAGCATGCAGAGAATATAAAAAAAAAATAAACATGGCGATGTTGAAGAAACGTCACCTCAATTTGACCCTGAAGGAATCTTATATGTCCAATAGCTTCTAACAACACAGATGCTGTGTCAGTCTGCAAAAAAAAAAAAACCTCAAATCATCTTCCTCAGGTACCCTTTAAATCTTTAATGTTAAAAGCCAATAATCTTATACTAGGCTGATGAAGAAGGTTTAAGGGAATATTTGAGTTTACCTTTCCATATGGGGAAATTAACTGGTGGAGGGCTGTTATTCTATCACCTAGCTTCTCCTTTCTCACCTGGATTTATATTATACCATACAAAATACACTGATTAATGTTGTTTATTATTTGAATTCATTATTTGGCAAAATGGGTCTGAAAAAGAATAAGACATGGTCGAAAACAGACAACCAAGAACGACATATATATGCCATTAACGTTGTTACGCAGACAACACAGAAAAGAACAAGGACCCAGAACTAAAAGAGAAAGCGAGAAAGATACTGTGTGTTTTATACTTTTAAAGGCGGTTGGCTTGAAGACGACTGAACCCTAGCCTTCTTCCACGCCCCACCTGTGCTGCTGCCTTTGCTATTACACTGCCAAAACACAGAGATGAAAGAATACAGCTTTAAGATTATATATATATTTGATTAATGCATTGAAAATGATCAATTTTACCTCAGAAGTATTAGACTTGGATCCATCAGCCGCCGCCGCCGTGTTGTTATAAGAGAAGTCCAGCATATTGCTGCTTGAACTGGTTATACAAGACCTGGGGCTTGGGGAAGAAGAAACTGCCATGATTTGAGACCAAGCGGCTGCTGCAAGCGGCGGCGGCGGCGGCGTAGGTGGTTGGAATTGTTCATTGGCATGATGACCGTAAAAGTTGCTATGTTGAGTAATAACCTCTTGCTTTACTTCAACAACGGGCTGAAAATGACTAGGACCGCCGTACCTTTCTTCTTCACCGGTGAATCCACCACTACCAACCACAAAAACCCCATGACTAACAAAAGCATATAATACAGAAAAAACGAGTTAAGAGATTAAAACAAAGCTCACAGGAGTAGCTGGCTCCATGACTGAGGAAGCTCTTGGTTGTCAGGTAAAGAAGGAGATCCAACAACATATTGAGGGAAGATAGATGGTGGTGGAGGCAAATGCATGCTAGGGTTTCCTGCCATCATTTGTTAACAAAAATCATTGAAAAAAATACACTCTACTTCAATTTCATGTGACTTATCCTTCAAAACAAGAAAAATCAAGATCTTTCTCTCTTCACTATGCTGAGTTTCCTTGTTTATTGTACACAACCAAACCGGCCTTCGTTGAAAAAAAAGCTTTGTCAACAGTCCCCTCGGCTCTTTTGTTTGCTTTCTCAGATGAGGGTTGAGGCGCCTTTGCTCCTTTTTCCATTCATTCTTTCATTTGTTTAGTATTCCTTTTTATTCTTTGCTTTTGCTTTATTATAAAGTGGGGGTGTAGGTAAAAAAGGTAGTGGACAGTATTTTCAGTCCTTAAACTATTGAGGCATCTACCACCTTATTTCCTTGATTTGGGGTGCCCTCTACCTTGGGATTGTTTTGATTTTTTGGGGTCTTTTAGTCCTAGGGTTAGGGTATATAATGATGGGTTTCCTATTTTGTTAAAATAATAATTGCAATATGAGTCATGACAACATGGAAATTGGTGCTTAAATATCAATATTTGTATTTATGTGATAAATGATCTATATTGGCAAAAAATTAAGATACTATTGTGAATAGAAATAATTTCCCATATAATGTCATGTTAATATTATTATTTTTAAATAAGGAAAAGTGAACGATACACTGGACAAGACGAATGAAAGATTGGATGTCTTTGTAAAGATTCATGGATAATTAGGTGTATTTTAATTAGTTTGTGGGCATGCATACATCCTGAGCGAGTTATCGAATGATCCATACATCTCTCCAAAATATCTAAGTAGTCCAGACGTCTTTCTTAAAGTACTGTAATAATCATCCTTTAAAAAATAATTTTTTCAATCTCTTATATGAGATAAATAAATTTAAATTTAAATTTAAAGAATATAAAATTATAAAATTTCATAAGATGTAAAACTAAATTATCAATAAAATATTTAATTTAATACTATAATACTCTAACACTCACTTAACTTTAAACCTAAACATCCACCTTTTCCTTACCTAGGTTTCATACCTTGCTAATAGTTATTGGTTTCTAATCATTATGCAATTATTAGTTCAATTCACCATACAAATCAAAGCTTTTAATATATGCATACATACTTTTATATAGGGAGAATCTAAGTACTCCAAACATCCTTAGAAGGATAATCATAATAAAATTATCAAAGTAAACATTATTGGAGGAAATTTTGGAACAGTCAAACCAATTGCTGCACTAGTTTTATCTTATTTTATTTTCTGGCATAGCTAGGTTGCACTTTATACACATGCTTCCAAGAAGAAAGTGGGGCTATTGGTATTTATTAAATATCAATTTAATCAACACATTTCCAACATTTGACCATTTAGTCCTCACATGATTGACTATCTCATCTTCGCCAACTCTATTTAGTTTATTTATTTGATAAGTGCAAATTAGCCAAGTGATTATGAGTCCAATTTATATGAAAATAAATATCACTTACATCATTAATTTAGACCATAAGCATCTTTAAAATAGTTGAAAGGATAATATTTTTATTCAGTTTATTTAATTTAACGTGGAAACAAAGAAATATACGTAAATGTATATGCAATTGACCATTTTTGAGAATTTTAGTGAAACAACATTTGCAATGCCTTGGACTGGGTTTTTTTTGGCCCAATACCCCAATCGGGTTAATTATTTAGGGTATTGGGCCTCCAACAACTTTATTTTTGAAACTATTATTTTTAAATTGACCCTGAGAAGTGGGTCTTATGTAGGCTATTATTTTATTTTTATTAGTAGGACTCGTCACCTCGGCGTGACGAGTCTATTAAAAAATATTTTTTTAATTACGAAAATAAAATAAAAATAAAACTATAAATTAAAAAAATTAGATGGAACTCGTCACGTCGAATTCAAAAAACTAGTCGTTGGTCAACGGATATATGGCCAATGGTCACTTGGAACTCGTCACCTCGAGATGACGAGTTCGACCGGATTTTTCTCCCAACTAGTCGTTTATAGACGTTGGATGCAAGGCTATAAATATGGGTTTGGGTTTTTTATTTTACCAAACCTTGAATCTGAAATAAGTAAAAAACCATACATTCTATCAAAATCTCAAAAAATGGCAACCAGAGAATATATGTTGCACTTGGATAACGTTAATGTTTCGTCGATCGTAAGCCGACCGAATGATGAATAGAATGTTCGGAAGCGCGAGATGACATACGGAGAGCCGCATCAGCTGATTGTGATATATCTACAGTAATCCGGTCTATTTTCGGCCATATTTGTGTGTGGCTTCAAGTTACCCGTCGTTGATCTAGGCTCTGGTTAAATGTTGACGGCCCAAGACCCACACGTTCCACTTCCCGAGTGGTGAAGCGACAATTAATTTGGAAGATGTTACTTACCAAGTCGGTGTTCCTGTGAATGAAGCCCTCGTGGTGTAGTAGAACCTTTACGACCCCGCATCGTTGGTCTACCAAGTTTTGGGAAAATGGCCACCATCCGACATCATCGAGGGCTTTCGAGTACGGATAACATGGTTGGAATCGAAATTCCAAGTAACAGCCGAGTCTATAGAGGAGGAGGTTATTTTTGCGTCCCGCACATATATTCTCCAACTGATCGGAGAGGTATTATTACCGGATAAATTCAGTAATTTGGTGTACACTCAATATCTGCTATATTTTTGAAGACTTCATTGTGTGCCGTAATACTAGTTGGGACTCGACGATTTTGGCCTTTATGTATTGGGAGCTTTGGAAGGTTGTAATTATCCAGTCGGGTCGAAAAGTCGATGTCGCAGGCTATCTAATATTGCTACAGTCATGGGTTTGGTACCAATTCTCGTTTTTAACGCCAATTACAACAACCCCGATCGAGTTTCCTCTGGTTGCAAGGTAATTATTTGTTTTTTTAACTTCATAAATTTAATTATTTTTTATTTTTTATAATATTTTTTATTTTTAAAAAATTTTAGATGGCGTCATAAAATATTCGAGACGAAGTTGACATGTATCACTGCACTAGATATACGGATGAGGATCAACATCGTCGGTCGATATGCGGTATGACATACGATTTTTTTATTTTTTTTATTTTTGAATCTTTTTAACTTTATATATAATAAATTTGATTGTTAACTCTTATAGTTCTCTTGGCTTCTATAAGTTGACGAGGAGATCAATCAGTTATTGCTTATGGGATTTTTGAGGGGTCTCACTTATGGTGTGTAGTGACGCCGTTATTGCATTATGCGATTGTTAAGTGGCACGCTGCTAATAGAGTGATGTGACAGTTGCGTGGCATCAACCAATTCCTATGTTGATGGTTGATATGAACACGCTCCATAGAATTGATACGCGTGGGAAACATACCAAAAATTGGTCGGTGAAACACGCTTACTACATCTAGCAATGGAATCAGCATGAACAATCGCTCCCCTCGCGTCTCGACATTACATCGTTGGACCTAGATTTCGACTATTTTCCATGTCTCTGAAATTATGAAGCAAATGAGAAACCATATCTCACGACACCGGAAGAGAGGGGAGAATTGGAATATCATAAGGCCACATGCGCCAAGTCCAAGTCTAAGAATAAAGCGTCGTCGTCGTCATCTTCTGCTTCAGTATCAGCAGCTTAAGAGTACTACTATGCATCTCGGGCTAGTTTCAGTTTCTATCCTCTATTTCATACTTCAGCCGAGACTCGATCGAATTAGGTTGGAGGTTCATGGGATGCACCGTAATTTACTCAAGCATCTTCGACAGAAAATACGATTGTGGGTGAGTGGGACCATATCCTATATGGTCAATAAAGTATAAGCCAAATCGAAGCAGTTACGGCAAAGATGACTTCGAATGTTATAAATCCATCACCGTATTTCAAAGGTGGATCGAGTGTGTTAAGTACACCTTCTCGGCAAGAAGATGATGACAACGACGGTGATCAAGGCCTACGATCCCGGAGTACTCGACGAGCCCCGCGGCATTATCATTCCACTACTCCGCAACATCGTCAAAAACTTAGGAAATATAAATAATATTTATTTTTTAAATTATTTAATTACTTTGTATTTTTAAATATATATATAAAAATTCATTTTTCTAATTTTAATTTTTTTTTAATTTTATCTGATCGAACTGGTCACCTCGAGGTGATGAGTTCCAAATGGTCGTTGGCCATATATCCGTTGACCAATGACTAGTTTTTTAATTTGAAGGAACTCATCACATCTATTTTTTTAATTTATATTTTTTTATCTTTATTTTATTTTCGTAATTAAAAAATATTTTTAATGAACTCGTCACGCCGAGGTGACGAGTCCTATTAATAATAATAAAATAATAGCACTTCTCCGGGTCAATTTAAAAATAATATCTTAGGTGACGAGTTTCGTGTGAACTCCAAAATAAAGTTGTTGGAGGCCCAATACCCAAAATAATTAACTCGCTTACGATATTGGGACAAAAAAACCCTGTACATAATCAAGAAGGCTCATTTCAAACCAAATTATTAAAAAAATATATAAAACTTAATTCGATTGATTCAATTAACATAAAAATAGGGTAAATTATGCATTTAGTGCATAAACTATCAGTTTTGATCTATTTTAGTACCTAAACTTTCAAAAAAAATCAAAATCATACCTAACGTTAGTTTTTGTTTCATTTTAGCACCCCGGCGTTAAAAACATAACAGACGGGATGACGACGTATAGCTCTAGTGGACGGACGATGATCCAAATGGTGGATCACAAGAGAATGACGAGTCAACCAACATAGTCCAGTTTCAGGCCGAAATCATGTTTAAGGGGTCGAAAAGGTGCGAGGTGGAAAATTTGGGCTTCATTGAGTGAGGGATGCGACGGTTGACGACTATAGACATGGCGGACGGCGAGCCCGATCGTTAAGTTTTTAATAGCGGGGACTAAAATGAAACAAAAATTAAACATTATGTATGATTTTTAAAAAATTAGAATTTTATGTACTAAAACATATCAAAATGAATAATTTAGATGCTAAACGTATAATTTATCCTAAACTTCGGTATTAAGCACAGGAAACTGATACAAACAACTGTCTAACAATAAAACGAATGTCTCGAAAAAAAAACCAAACCTAAACAAAAGGAAATTGAAAACCTAGAAACCTCTCTGAAAAAGAAAAAACTAGTTCAGCCAACCAAACGATGATCATCTCCCGGAGGAGAAAGGTCAACGGCTGGTATT